ATCTCCAGCTCCTCTCCCCTGGACTAGGTCTGGGAGTGGGACTGAAAGTTCCAACCCTCTAATCACCTGGTTGGCTCCACTGGCAACCAGCCCCCACCCTCTGGTGCTTTCCGAAAGTCACCTCATTAACAGAACAAGAGACACTTTATTGCCCTTTTAGGAGCTCTGTGTCAAAAACAGGGACACAGATCCTGTTCCAAATATATGTTTATTATAAGTCACAATATCACCCATGGCAAAGCCTTCAGGCTTTTCGGGAGGGTGGCAGTGGAATTTTGTTCTGTATTTTTGCTTATTTTGTGCAGCACTCGAGGTTTTTTGCTGGCAGCATGATAATCCAGCCATTAAGCCATGACTGAATCCTTTAGGGAATGCACTGTTGTAGATAGCAAAGTCATTGTGGAGTTGAACTCCAACCACTCAAGCTTTTAGATTAAATATTTTTTTCAGTGAGATTCTGCTGTCCTTCTCAGTGCAGACTATGCCTACAGAATACTATAGACTAGGGCAGTGATGGCGAACCTATGACACGCGTGTCAGAGGTGACACGCGAACTCATTTTTTTGGTTTATTTTTCTTTGTTAAGTGGCATTTAAATATATAAAATAAATTTCAAAAATATAAGTCTTTGTTTTACTATGGTTGCAAATATCAAACAATTTCTATGTGACACGGCACCAGAGTTAAGTTAGGGTTTTTCAAAATGCTGACACGCCGAGCTCAAAAGGTTCGCCATCACTGGACTAGGGGGCTTCACAGAGGATTTATCCTGAAGCACAATTTCTCTCTGGCTGTGAACCTGAAACCAGATACGTTATGTGCTTCCGAGATGAGGAGACATAGGTTTTTGTCTTCTTGAAGGAAAGATTTCAATCAAGAGACAAAGTATAGAAAAGCAAGCAAGAATTTATTGACAGCAGCAAAAACATACTTAGGGCAGTGACACAAGGAGGGCATAGAGGAAACCACAGGAGAGCCTGGGCTGGGCTGCCTTGGCTCACGGGGAAGTCAGAGAAAAGGGGGCCGTGGAGACAGGTTCAGGGGGTTAGCCCTGGACGAGCTGCTGCTGCCCATTGCTCCCCTGGTTGCAAGTCTCATGGGGTCCCTTAGAGGTGAGGGGATACCTGCCTGTGGGGGAAGAAGAGGAGGAAGGGGTGGCATGGACATGTTCCTTGAAAGAAGAGTGCACTGGGGCCTTCATTTTCAGGGATTTTAAAGGCTGGGCATTTAGGGGAGGTCTTAGGGGCAGATCAATAGAATATTCGTCAGCTTTATGCTGATGGACCAAAATGAGATTTATTCTCTTAATTTGTCTGTCCTTGGTGTGGTTGGCAAATGGCACTAGTTGGATTTCTGTAACTGTCTCCCTGAGTAGGGAGATTTAAGCTGTTTACCCTCTGTTTGAGGAGGAGAAGTGCAAACCATTTACTCTTAAGTGTCCCTGGTTAGGGAAGATAGGATTTCCTAGATGGCTGCAAACTGCTGTTGAACTATCTGTCTCAGTTGCCCTATTCCTTTGTCCTGGTATTTCCCTAGCTTCTTGCTGTTCTATAACACTATAGTGGGACAGGCAGAGGATGGACATTCCTGTTCCAAAGGAGAATGAGAAAGAAGGGAGGGGTGATGGGTGCGAAGCTAGTCCAGCACCTAGGAAGGCCAATTCTGTGAGATCTTAGATCAAGAAGTCTTAAGGTTTAAGAATAATTCTTTTTGCCTCAGTGCTTGCCCTTGGAAACCAAGGTGAAGGCTGCCCCCCTCTCCCTTCCTCTCCATGACCTTTGCCCTCTGAGCCTATGATGGAAGTGATGGCCCAGCCTGGATAATCTCTGAATCGCCTTTGGGGTCCTTCTTGTCCTAAAGAATAGCCAGCGTTCCCGTCAGGTAACTCTGGTTCAGTCTCTAGGAAGTCCAGCAGTCTTCGGAGTTAGGATTTCAACATCAGAATTTGGAGGGACACACACATTAACACCTGCATGTCTTGTGCACATTGTAAACATAGTTGGGCCTTTCTATGACCTCGGGGGTTCTGATGTGCATAGTTATTGGGGCAGGATGACAAGACGCCCATGATATGGAATGAATTGACCTTGCTGTGGGATTCACTTTCTAGGAAAAGACCCTGATGTCAGTCAGCTGCTTGGCTATTTGCCAGCTTCTTTTCCTTCTCACCTCCAACGCACAAAGTCTCAGAATTTTAGGGTTAGATCGTTTGGACATTGTGTAGCCTGGCCTCTTTCAAGGGTGCCATGTTGTAGTGCCAGCTAAGTGGCCACCTGCAATATACATCATTTCACACACACTGGAACCACCAGGCAGTCCCCCTGAGCTCAGGAACCTGGCCTTTCCATACAAAGGCAGCTTAAGAATACAGCCCAGTGCAAGAAGATTATAAGACTCGTCTCAGGTGGGAAACCAACACAAGGCCAGCTGCCACCAAAGCCCCAAGGGAAGGCGAGTAGGTGACAGTTCAGGTGGTCGTGGTGACTGCCCCTCCTCCCCAAAGCACTCTTATCTTCTGTGTCCTGTGAAGGCCTCTGCTTGCTTGTCATCAGTGGCTGCCAGGACCCTTACTGGCCTGTGTCCTCTGTTTCTGTTTCTTATCTCACCTGTCCCCAGTCCCACTCCTTTAAGTCAATCAGCAGAGTACCTGCTCAGGAAACCGATCCGTCCGAAAGTGTCAGGTCTGTTCTTCAAGTCTCCTGCTTTCTTTGGCTCTGTGTTAATTTGTTGCTTAGTTCTTAAGGGTTACTTCTTCACACTTTGAAGGTTTCTTTCTTTTTTCTCTTTTCTTTTTTTGAATTGCTATTTCTGAAGGCGTTTTGATCTAAGATCTCAGAGCCATTTTGGAAGTCTGCCAACTCAATAGCCGTGATGTTACAGCCACCCATCCATGAAGCTTTAGTGGGAGCTGGGTTTGGGGCTTCACTAGCAGATGTTTTCTTAAGGTACCAAAGGCCCTGAAGGTTGGGGGCTAAAATCTATTGGAGGTAACATTTTGTGATTTCTGCTGGTTTTTCCTCTATTTGCTAATGAAGTCTTATATTCAGAGCCCACTCAACCTGCCCAGTCTCCCATGTGGAGCTGTGCTTTTGTTTTCTTTATGGAAAGATAAAAGTTAAGTTTGTTTTATGCTTTTCTTATCCTGGATGTGGGGACTTTGTGGTACATACACATACAATGAGGGGGGGATCCCCTATGGCTCACCTAGTTCAGCCTGCTCGGTTCACAGCTGAGAAGGCTGCACCCATGGATGTGGGGACTTTGTGGTACATACACATACAATGAGGGGGGATCCCCTATGGATCGCCTAGTTCAGCCTGCTCGGTTCACAGCTGAGAAGGCTGCACCCATAGTCGTCATTCCCCCAAGAGGTCACGGCTACTTGATGTCAGCCTGGTGATCTGGCCCGGGGCTACTTGATGTCAGGCTGGTGATCCAGCCCGGCTCATGTGTTTTCCTGTATTCAGCATTGCTCTGGTCGTTTCTCCTATCGGGTTCTCTGTGAGGTGTTTTCTCTCTGTCTTCCCCTGTGTTCCTGTCTCCCTCTGCTTCTCTTCCTCTCTATCAGTCTCTGGCTTTCTTTCCCCAGGAGTGTGGTCTTAGGCAGTGTGCCCTGGGTCCTGCAGAAGGCGGATGTGGCCATACTCCTGTGTTGGCAACATCCTCCAAGACCAGCAGAGGCCAGCGGATCGATCCAAACCTGCATACTTTCTCCCTTTCCTACTCTCTTCCTGCCTTTCCTTCCCGCGCCACCTCCGGGCGCATGCTCACACACAACACTCACCTGGAGGTAGAACATCCCCAAACAAGGTCTCAGATAGACCAGGGAAAGGACAATGGCAGTTCGGTAATCTTCATATGCAGGATGGGGTGTTAGGCACATGGGAGAGGAGTGGATACTCAACTAAGGAATGTAATCGACTGTGTTTAAGTTAAGGGTGGCTTTGGGAGGTGCCGTGGAGTTGATGGGGGAGCCAGGCCACTGGGAAGGGTGCTCCTGAGCTGTGTGGCTGTCCCCTCCCAGAGCCAGCCGACTTCAGGCCGCCCAGGAGCCACGTGCCAGACGGCTGCTTCTCTGAATGGAATATTTATGCCCCTTCTTGCTCCAGTCTTGTCATCTATTCTCCATTCTCCCCACCCTTGGCACGTATTCTTAAATTAAGTAATGAAATGAATGGAGAGAGAAAGCCCAACATTTGTCTTCTCCTTGAAAGACACTTTGGGGCAGTGCCTGCAGTGGATGGCATTCACAGAATGGTTCTGTTTTGGCAACTTCAAATGCATTTTTCCTTGACCCAGTAAAGGCTGCCCTGCATGCTTGAGTAGAGGCCTACATATGATTGCGTCCATGTGGCTCATGTGTGTGAGTTATACATGCTATCTGTGTGGTAGAATCGGTCAACTCCTACGGGAAGGGAGCCCTGTGATTTTTTTGTGCAGACTCTGAATAACAAAGAAGCCCTTGACTTTCTCCATAGGGTTTTATAACAGAGTGTTTTGGGCCACAGGTAATAGGAAACCCATTTCAAAATGGCTTAAAGAATAAGAAAAATGTTGCCTTCCGTACATCGCCAGCAGTTCCCCGATAGAGTGGTTCCAGGGTTGGCTGTTTCAGTGGCTCGGGGACTCTCCGTTTCCCACCATCTCCAGCACGTTGGTCCCAGCCTGTGCGTCCTGCCCTGATGATCTTGAGGGAGCTGCTCAGCGCCAGACACAGGTCCTGACAGGGTCCAGCAGAAGAAGACGTCCTCTCTTCCTGTGTTTTTAAGAGTGAAGAAACCTTTTCTAGAAAGCCTCCAGCACACTCGCCCTCAGTCCTCCTTGCCTAGGGTTGGGCGAGGAGCCTCTTTCCAAGGAGACCTGAGGACAGGAACTTAGGTGCCCAGAGGAGTAGCTCACAGTAGATCTCATTGACTGAAAGAATAAAAGAAAGGATTACCTCCTTCGGCTTGGAGTTCAGCAGAGGCACATGGGAGAGGAATGGATCCTCAGCAAATCCTTTGTCAGTCAACAGGATGAGTAAGAGGCGAGGCCAGGTCCTTCCTTCAGCCCTGTCCACAGGCCGGAGGGACAGACCCGGGTTGACGGGAAGGATGGTCTGGTCTCCTGCCGACTTCTCTCCCGTTCTCCTTTGGTTCCCTTAAATCTGGTTCGTTTGTTTGTTTAAATGCTACTTCCATCATCTCATTACAGCAACTGACACTCAAATATAAGTGTAATTTTATAATTGAGTGTAATCATTTCACTATCAGGGGAGTGAAATTTAGAAACCTATTTCAGTCTCCAGTTGGCTTTGAGATGTCTTTCAGCAGATAACTGTCTGGTGGACTTTTCTGGCTTCTGAAGACTTCCTTGAACTGTTCCTCTTCCACCCCCCCCCCCCCCCCCAAAGCACCCAAGCCTGCTCTGCACCCCAGTGCCTGGCCCTCAGCAGCCTCTCAAAGGATCGATGTTGAATTAAGTAACGAATCTGTCAGCAAAAAGATTCACAGCATTAGCCCTCCTTTCCCCTTGACTTATCTGCAAGACAAACAGCCCTCAGCACTTCTGTAAGGTACTCTGATTAGAATGAAGTAGTATTTCCTGATTTTCCTGATTTTATCATTCTGTTTGTCCTTCAGGCTCATTTGGCTTCTCTGAGCTCAGCGTGGTGCCAATTACATCCCTGAGATTTGAAGGTGATCCAGAAGGTTCACGGCTTCTAATTTTTTTTTTTTCCAAGTTCTTATCTCCTCATTCTCTGCCCACTGCTCACTACTTTTTCTCATTAAGTTTTTTTCCCTTAGGTTGAAAATATGCATAGGGACACTTTTATTTACTTTTCTTGTTTCTTAGAGACATTTAAACTTTAATCTTAAGCAAATATCTTCCAGTTTTATCAATTATACCTCAATAAAGCTGAAAAAAATAACAAGGGAAGAAGCAGACTAAAAGGGCCTGAGGACAAAAGTGCAACTTCTAGTTTTTGTTTAAAGAATTATACCTCCTGAGGGTTTGGTCCCTTAAACTTAGTTGTAGGTATTACGGTTGCTGGCAAGACAAGCCATGGCCTTCTTTCTAATTTCTAAGGTCGTTTTTGAAAGGCTCCTCTTCTCATGATGAAGACATTGTGTTTCTATGTCTTTTGAAATTCAGCTTGCTCTGAACATCTAATTACATGTCCTCGAGATGCAGGGCCTGCTGAAGAAGAGAAAACATGTGGTTTGAAATGAGCCTGGTAAGAAACCAGAATCCAGAGCAAAACAGGCCTCTTTCTTCCCACACTCAGTGCCTTCCCTGTTTCCTCTGCCTGGGCATAGAGAAGAGACCTGCTGGGGCTCCAGGCTCCTCCAGGCACACTTGTGCATAGCTTGTTGGGAGATGAGGTCTGTGCAGAAGCCTTGAGGAAAGCACATGTTCAGAGGAGGCTGCGATGGTACTAATCCTCCTAGGCAGACCATGCTGCGGAAAGCATGGCTTTAAGAAGGCGGCTTGCATGGAGTAGCCAAGCGTGGGTGACCCAGTGAGCCTAAATACCAAGGCTTGTGGTATAGAAAAATGCCAGCCTCATTTTTGGTTTTTAAAAAGTATAATGGTATTTTAGTAATTACTGTCTGATGGAGAAGGTGGTTCTCTCAGTGAATAATGTTACTAAAGTGCACTTCTCAGAAGGGGGCAGCTTTGAAGTTGGCTGCTGAGGCTCACCTACCTGCGCCAGGGCTTCATCTCACCTGTGTTCGGTAAATGGCACAGTTGGTTCCCTCCAACCTGGTTCGGGACAGAGCACCTTGTACTCTGTCTCTTCTGAAACCCACCTTCCTAAGCCTTTTCAGATCCAGTGCATTTCAGTTTGCAAAGCTGATAGGTCCTTTTTAAAAGTTGTCTTTTGTGAGAAACATTGTGATGTGATATTATGATGTGTAAGTGGGAAACCTAGAAAAAAGAGGAAACAGATGAATTAGGGATAAGTCAAGGCTTAAAAACAAACAAACAGCACTGCAATAAAATGAAAATTCTCTTTCCAGGTCCTGGAACAGCGTGGGCCTGTCACAGGGAATCACAGAGTAACAGAGGGAAGTACCCTGGGGCTGAAGCAGTTGTGTGTAGGTTAAGCGAGCTGGAAGGCCCCTCGGCTCCCAGGTTCTCAAGCACCTGTCTGTCCTCTCACTTTGGAACAGCTGCTTAGGGTCAGATAAGCCGGGGCGGTGTCTGCTTTCCAGAGGCTTCTCTTACAGCAATGGCAGGTGGAAGAGGACTTCGGGGCCTTTCTACTAGTTGATGTGAGGGAACTCCCATCAGCTGCCTGGCATTGCCCCATCCTTGCAGCTCTTCTTGACCTTGCGCATCGGTTCCACACTGCAGGACCTCAACAGCTCCCAGCAGCTTGCTTCTCCTGCCTTGCTCTCCTGACCCTGAGACAGTCCTGGCTCAGGCTCTCCACTCCTCCTGATAGAGTTGATAGAGAAGTACTCTGTGCTCTCAGACCAAGAGGAGTCCTGTGAGCTGTGTGACCCTGGACAAGTTCTTTGGGGCTCACTGTATTATCTGTAAAATGGGGATGATGGTACCCAGCTGTTAGGAGAACTAAGAGAAAACGTGGGGGTGTCTCAGGCTTCAGCCTGGTACCCAGTGAGTGCTCAGAAAGTACTGCTGACTATTATACATTAACATTGTGATTGCTCTTGAGGAAAAACAACAACATGATTTGGAGTGTTGATTGGGCATGGAATTCTATTGCAAGCCAAGTAAAGTATAGAGTTGGACCTTGTAAGAGGAAACCATAGAGAAAGCTGGGGTACCCTGTTATGAGAGGTTAATTCAGTGGCATGGATGAAGTACTGGTAATATTTCAAGCCAGATAGCCATCATAATACGGAGATCATTCATTCATGGTGACAAGTCAAGAGACATCAACTCAAAATCAGTGAAGAGTGAAGAGAAAATTACTTAAAAGATGGCAATATTAGCTGTCGGTTTTCCAATGGCATGTGAAGAAAGTTAACCACATTATGTTACCTAAAAGGGGATTCAGGCTTCTCTGCTTCATTGTGCTTTTCTGAGAGAGGAGCAGATGATTAAAAAGACCATAGGTATCTCTTCCTCTCTGAGCTCTCACTACTTGCCATCCAAAACTCGGGCACCAGATTAATTTGGAGAAAGCAAAGTCTCTCACAAAGCTAATGTACTTTCTGAATTCTCACCATCTATACTCAGGAACTGAGAAATGGATAGTGGGGATACTTGTAACAGATTTTCCTAATGTGAACTTGATACATCAGAAGAAAGCAGTTCATATATGTTTTAATTTAGCCTGTGTAAGAAGAGGGATTTTAGAATGAGTTCCAGAATAAAAACTATAGTGTAAATATTTGCCTCAGACAGGATCCCGGTTGCAAGCAACAGAAGCTGACTGTGCTGATTTAAAAGCCTGTTAACGGATATTGGCTGGCTTGAGGAATTGTAGAGGCTGGGAAACAAGTTCCCAGGGAAGCTTCTAGAACTGGCATGTCACGCAGAGCTGGTCTAAGGAGGAAACCCCAGTGAGCTTAGGCTGTAGTCTGTCCCCCTGTCACTTCTGCAGTGAACTGTGATGGAACCTCATGCCACAGTCAGCAGTGTGAGGAGTGCCACCTCCCACCACTCTAGCCAGCACCAGAGGGAGGAGAGGAGGGCTGTGCATAGTCACCTCTTCTGCCGCCAGCTCTGAGGCCAAGTCTGGCATGGGTGCGACTGCAGAACCAGGCCCTAGTTATAAAGAATCCTGGGCAGCAAGTTCTGGCATCTCCCCGGGAGACGTGGGACGCATAACGCTGGAAATTCTCCAAGTGTGGGAAGGCTGTCCAAAGGCGCGGGCAGCTCCGGGCAGGTCGGGTGCCCATTAGAACAGTGTTCAACATTTGCGAGTGTAACCCTTCAGTTGGTCGTAAATCACTCTGGTGAAACCAGCTTGCTTGCCTTCTTCTACCTTATTTTTTTTTTAAATGAAATAAAATAGAAAAGTGTTGTGTATCACTTACAGTAAGTTTCATCTTGTGAAACTTTTCATTGAACATGATCTGCATTGGTGTATGGAAACTGAGTTGCCAGGTAAAAGCTATTGTTACCACAGTTCATGATCTTAAAAGCCTGCACAGTCCAGTGCTCAGAGTTTATATTCAGTTTCACTACTCACCTCACTTATTTCCAAAGCATAGTATTTGTCTTTTCTCTTTCATTTTCAGAATAAGTCAGTGCGCCCCCACCCTGACTGACACACACACACACACACACACACACACACACACACTCCTGCGAGCAGGGAGCTTTCCCTTGTTAAGGTACAATCTGTATGACTTACACTTACAGGTAACCTACTTACTGTTATAACATTGTTTCCCTGGGAAATGATGACCTGAGTTCCAAAGAAAAAACCAAAACACACACAACGTGAGGAGACTTGGTGCCTGTTATGTGTATGGCAATAGTTGTTACAATGTGGATGAATCATGTCAACCTAGACTTGGACCTCAAAGTATCTGTCAGAAAAAAACAATTTAAGTAAAGGGCCTTTTACTGTCTTTAGTCTTGTCTCTGAAATGAGTTCGTTCTAACCCTGTAATGTTACCTCTGCAGGTCCATTTACTCGACCTCATCCAGCCTTATGGAGAATGGTTTTTGGTGAGTTAACCATTGAATTTTAAAATATATGCTACTTAAAAAGTTTTTTTCCCCCTGCATATAATCATAGCAGTTTTGCTTACCACTCTATAGGAAAAAAACTATAGCTTTTTACTTCTTGGTGTTCCTAATATAAATTTTTTATTAAAATCTTTGCCACAAAATCAAGTACTGATGACAATCAACATCCTGGTACATGTGAACCGTTTTAGCTCCACTTGCCCCTTCTTATGCTGTGGCTCTACTGTACACAGGACTTGACATAGGGATTGTGGCTTGCTTTTCTCTAACCAGTTAACCACCACACGTCCAAAACGGAAACCATCCCCACCCGCCACGATATTTTGAATTTAAAAAATCAATTTGCAATGAATATTACAAAAATAAATATATTACAATTCAGGTGTTCTTGAATATTTTCAGCTGAAAATTCTCACAAAAAAATGATTTTAAAGTTGGTAAGGGCTGCCACTTAGGGAAAACTTTTTTTTTTTTTATAGATGCGTGTGGCGTGTGGGGAAGGTCCGCCGCTTGCGTCTATAGACACTTATGGTGGACAATGGGTTAAGCATCTTCCTCTTTCTCTTCGCTAGTGCAGCTCAGGTGTATCCTAGGAGCACATTGGTCTCCTCGGCATCGAGGAGGACTAAAAAGTCCAGCGATCTCAGTGTTATGAATGGGAAAGAACTTGGGCAAGGGAGTCTTTAGATAAAGAGCCCTGATTTGAACTACAGTTTAGTGATCAGTATTTTATATAAATACTGGCTGTCTTATTTTTATTTGATTTCTAGTCCAAATATCACCTGAATGGATTTAACACAGATCTTCAGAACTATAGACATTGGCTTTATCTTGCCTAAATAAGACATCAAATAAATTACTTTAACTTCAGAAAATGTAATCTTCTGCATAAGGACCCTAATGATGGACCTTTCGCTCAAGGTTGCCTGTTTTTCTTTCAATGTTCAGGGATCAAAGGTAAATCCCTTTGAACTTAGTGGTCATTCCGGACCTTCGTTCAGTGCCCCGTGGGCAGGCGCTTCTCTGCCCGAGGCTGTGATGGGCAGACAGCCCAGGAGCCGCTCTGCCAGTCAGGAGGGCCCTGCAGAGGGAGGACATCTGCAGCCAACGCACTGTTAAACCAGTCATCAGAAAAGTCCGATGTGGCTTAAGTGTTAGGACCATGTGAGGTGATAGTGACTGGGTGGCTGCTTTTGCCTGTGGGTGAGGGAAGGCTGAAGGCAGGGTGCTTCATCCAAAACCTGCATGCAGAGGAGGATCGGAGCGTGCCACGGCGGGGTGGGAGCCAGACAGAGAATGAGCTCAGTGGTCCACAGCTAGGAAACGTTCGGTGTGTTCCAGGCCCGGGGGGCTGGAGCTTAGCAGGCTTGGGGAAGTGGTGAGTGGTCAGAGTTAGGCACAGATGGAAACCTGCAGGGCTTGTAGGCCACTCAGGATTGTGGGTGCGAAGGGCAGTCGGAGGTCATGGGAGGATTTTTTGCAGAGAAGTGAGATGGTTCATTTACATTTTTTAAAAAAATATATTTTATTGGTTTTTTTAAAGAGAGGAAGGGAGAGGGATAGAGAGTTAGAAACATCGATGAGAGAGAAAGATCCATCAGCTGCCTCCTGCACGCCCCCCCCACTGGGGATGCACCCGCAACCAAGGTACATGCCCTTGATCGGAATCGAACCTGGGACCCTTCAGTCCGCAGGCCGACGCTCTATCCATTGAGCCAAACTGGTTCGGCGGTTCATTTACATTTTTAAAAAGACAGTCCTGCATATACTTTCACCTCATGGACTTAGTGTATCTGCTTGAAGTTAAAAGTTGTTTTTAGCTAGTTGGGTACACCTGAGCTTTTCCTATTTCAAATGGTCCACTATAGGGAATGAGCAGTTTTGTTTCTTTTTTTTCAGTTTTGTTTCTTACCTGAGATCTTTTTGGGATCTTGGAGCCCTTTGCTAATCCGATGAGAACTATGGATCCTTTCCTCCCCTAACAGACACACAGACACACATGCATTCATGCATGTTTGCTTCACACACACAGTTCTCATGTTCTTCGTGGACCTCGAAGCCCAGCCATGAAGTAATTATTTTGAAAGGATTATAATAAAAAGGTCTAGGGAAGGGGGGGAGCATTTGAGTTGAAAATTTGTGTGAAAATAGCTGGTGCATAAGTGCAAACCTGAGGAGGTCCTCACACCTATGTTCCTAGGCCCTGGGATGCACGACCTGGTGGGAATGCTCCTGTGCAGCACCCCCCGTAACCCCCCATACCCCTGCCCCAGGCCCGGGACTGGCAGCTCCCTGTTGGAAAGCCTGGTGCTGTAGCCGGTCCATTGCATTCCAGCCACGATGTCCTCTCCTCTGGAGTGGCTCCCTGCAGATGAGTGCTGAGCCAAGTTTGGACAGGGTGCTGTGGTCCAAGGTCATTTGTATCACAGTGTCTAGATGTCCTATATTAACGCATAAATTCTAGCAGGTTCGACAGAAACAGAAGTGACAAAGCCCCAGTGGTTGGTTTTCAGACCTTTCTAAAGTGTATTAGCAGGCTTTTGCCTTCTTAGAGTAGATTAACTTTATTTTTCAATGACGTGGGAAGATTATGAGGAAACCAATTATGATAGGATGTGACAGTAAGGTAACGCCTGCAAGGGCTAATGTGGGCCACCTCCCGCACTCCTGTCACTGCTGAACTGGCCCCCCAACTATCTACACCGGCCTCGCCCACCTGCACCCCCTCTCCACACAGTGGCCAGAGTCGGCCTCGTAAAATGTTCCTAGATCATCGTATCCCCCACTGAAACCCTGTCAAGTGCTCCTTGTTTCACGTACGATAAAATCTGAAACCTTTGCCGTGGCCCCCAGCCTGACTGTCACTTCAGGGCCACCGCACCCCTTCCCCGTGCTGATGGCACCCCAGCCACATGCCAGCTTCCAGACACTTCTCTCTCCAGGGACCTACCTGCAACCTTTCTCGGCCTGAAAGCTGCACTCACCCCTCCATCCCCACCCCTCCCCTCTGTCTGCCAGTCCTTCAAGTCTCGGCCTCAGCATCCTTTTCTCAACAATGTTGCCGACCCTCTCAGTCTGAACTAGGACTGTGCATGAGACTCGCACAAGGAAGCCCAGATTGTACCGGGGGTCCAACACGCTGTGAAAGTGACACTGTTTCTGTTTCCCTCAGGACTCAGCGTGCTCTACTTCCTCTTCCTGGTCTTCCTCCTCTTCCTGAACTTCGAGCAGGTGAAATCCATAATGTACTGGCTAGACCCAAATCTCCGCTACGCCACGAGGGAAGCGGACATCATGGTATGTACTGGGCAGTGGTTCCGAGCATTGCTGGGCTCCTGGGTGTTGGAGGGAGTCCGTGCACATTCCCATGGCTCCTGCTCCGTGTCTCCTGAGTAGAGAGCTAAACAAGGTCTCTGGGCAGGTTGGTGAGGGCGTGGCTTCCCTGAGGGATAGTCAGGGAAGCAAAGTCCTCTCGGAGCCAAGGGGTGGCAGGGAGCGTGTGAGCGTGATCGGGAGACGGCCTTGGGTGTGTGTCTGCCTCCGTCACTTGGTAGCTGTAGGACTTCGGGTAACACACTCTATTTTGGGAGTTGACTGTGAACTAAGGAAGTAACATTATCCACGAGGCCTAGCACAGCTCCTTGCACACACAGGTCCTCAGTGGTGGAGCTGCATCTGCTCCGTCACCTCCAGCCTACACCACGATCCTTCCCACCTGCTGCCATGAGGAGCCACTTGTCATGATTTAGGCCATTGCATTCATTAGCTTTACTAAATCACAAAACATAACTTTATTCTTGGCTGAAGCTGCTCTGTGCTTTGGTGTAAGAGGCTATTTTATACAGTAATGCATTTGCTCCGCACCCCTCCCTTCAGTGCCTAACACTTGGTACAGTTTGGAGAAAGAGCTGGTGATGCTCACAATGGGAGGTCAGGCATTTGGGCCAGAGACAGACCCTGTTTAACAAGCAAGATACAGTAGAAAGGGACTTAATAAAAGGTCCGAGAAGTCATCCTTCTGCAGTTGAGATTGGTCAGGCCCTTCGGAATGGTGTTTCCAGACTTTATCAGGGCATGCTAAAGGCAGGAATAAGAATGCCAGAAATGACTTTGAAGTCTTGGGGAGAACAGTCTGTTGGGGGTTCGGACTCTAAGGAAGAGGATGGTGCTGGGTGACTTACAGCTTCTAATGATAATGATTGTGACAGTTGGGGTGAGGGTGATAGCGGGGGCTGATTGGGGTTGTCTACTCTGCCAGGCACTGGGCTGGGCGCTTTATATTGAATCTATACAAGCCTCACGCATGCATGGCAGACAGTCTTATCCCCATCTTACCAAGGAGAAAATAGAAGCTTAAAATAGATAAGTATTTTGCTCAGAGCACAAATTGGTTAAGATCCCTTTGGCTCTAAAATCTGTACTTGCCTTTTGGGCTAGTCTTCAGTTATACAGTTATAATAATAATAATAATAATAAGAAGTGCTTTCATGCTCACTGAAGTCTATGAAATCTTAGAGATTAGGAGAAAGATGTCTCAGATATATTTCCCCCACAATTTTCTTGGACTTTTAAAAATATATATTTTTATTGATTTTAGATCAGAATGGAGAGGGAGAGAGAGATACAAACATCAATGATGAGAGAGAATCATTAATTGACTGCCTCCTGCACGCCTCCTACTGGGAATCGAGCCTGCAACCCAGGCATGTGCCCGTGACTGGAATTGAACCCAGGAACCTTCAGTCTGCAGGCTGACGCTCTATCCACTGAGCCAAACCGGCTAGGGCTTTATTTATGTTTTGTTACTGACCTAACACAGTTGCCCTGTGGTCAGGTGACAGAGCATATGTGATTCCCCTTTGAGATGTGTAAGCCTCTGTACAATTATTTTACTTCTCATTTTAACCCAGCTTTTGCAGTTCAGAGCAAAGCAATTTAATTCATAAACTCTAATTAATGCTTATCCTTATTCCTCAAGAATCTCCAGTTATGAAAACATTTTTGTTGGGCAGGACATATATTAGTTATTAAGGTCACATCAGTTCCTGTTTATTTTCAGAATCCTGGGAGCCAGTTGATTTCTAGAGTATCATTAATTATTCCCCTTTTTACTTCAAACAGGAGTATGCTGTGAACTGCCATGTTATCACCTGGGAGAGGATTATCAGCCATTTCGATATATTTGCATTTGGACATTTCTGGGGCTGGGCCATGAAGGCCTTACTGATCCGCAGTTATGGTCTCTGCTGGACCATCAGCATCACCTGGGAGCTGACTGAGGTAAGAAGGGGGCGGGCCGTCATCTGGACCCTCAGTGTGGATAGTTTATATGGAGGAAGAAGCTGGTCCGTCAGTTCACAGTCAAGTATCCATTCTCCAGCGTCGGGAACAAAACTGCATTGAAAACACCCCCTTAGGAATATTTTTGTGAGAAAGAAACTAGCTTCTTGCTAACTTAAACTGTGCCTGTATGTCACAAATCTTAAAGAGAAACAAATGAGCCCTGGCCGGGTAGCTCAGTTGCTTAGAACATCATCCCCATTTGCCAAAGTTGCAGGTTCGATCACTGGTCAAGGCACATACAAGAAGCAACCAATGAATGCTTCATAATAAGTGGATAAGTAAGTGGAACAAGTCAGTGTTTCTCTCCCTCCCTTTCTCTAAAATCAATCAATAAATAAAAAATTTAAAAAACACACAAATGAAATAAAGCTAAAGGATGAAATTGAAATCCCAAGTGAGACAAATAAAGGATAATGAGATCTGCTTAGAAGTAAATAGGTAGTTTATCCAGTAACGAGTTTCCAGCTTGAAATAAATAGGATTGTGTGTTTAGGAACTCCTAGGGCATAGATGATGTTTTGTAGCTGAAGAATGAATTACCGGTGCAGCGTTACATCTCAGTAATCAAACGTATTGTCTCATTTAATGAATGAAAAGAGATATATTCTTGAAAAACCATTAGCAAAATGAAACTTGGGGAACGAACTCATTTATTGTTTAGTTATTATATTACTCTTATTCATTCACAAGAAACACATTTTGGCCGTGTGCACAGCCTGTTTCTCCAAGCCAGTCATCATCCTGACCCTAACCTAGAGGAGCAGGGTTCTCCCCAGGCTGTGGTGTGCTCTACGCCACCCCCGCAGCCACTTCGTTTCAGCAACTGTGTCATCACCGGCTGCCGAGTAAGAGCTGATGCTCCGCCTCGTGGCTGGAAGCCTGGGAATGTGCCTCAGGGTAGTGACCCACCTGGGTCAGAGCGCAGGCCCCACCGTCACCTGCAGGAGCTGCTTTGTACCTCTCGGCAGCAGGCACGTTAAGGAGGCAGGTGCTTCATACACGTGCATTGGTAATGTTTCACAGTCCATGAAATGCTCTCATGAGTAGTTTTATTTTGTAGTATTTATTATATTACTCCAGAGTAATTCTCTTCTCTTATATTACTTTGTAATTACATTACTTTCTAATTATGGGGTTGCCTCCTTAGAGAACCCCAGGCAGTTTCTCTGTAATTTCAGACTTGGGCCTTCACACGGCAGGGCGTTCTGTCCCGGACACAGCTGTTCTGCCCTTGTTTTGAACAACATTGTGCAGTAGACTTCTGTTCCACCCTGGACACTACTGTTCCCCTTTCTGAAATGCCTCGTCTCCATCTCTGTCTCCCAAAGCCAGTCGCTTCTGGCCTTAATGATCCCACTTCAGGATACCTTCCGTGCAGAAGCCTGTGCAATTGCCATCTCTCAGGATGGCTCCTGTCCCCTCTGTGCTCCTTTTATGTCACCATGGTAACACTTCCACAGCCTGCCCTATTGTGTGGTTCCAGATGAACATCTGACTCCTGCCCTGGAGATCAAGCACCTTGATTTCATTTTGTCTTACCGTCTGCTGATCATCGGTGATTCATAAAAGATGATCATTTTTGGGAATCAGTTAGTGTGAGATTTCCCATTAAGCTATCAGTTCCGTATATCATGTCATAAAGGTCTAGCTTTTTTACTTTATGTTTACAGCTTCCTCCCTGTTTTACCCAAATAAACAGGGAGTGGAACATTTCTAAAATGCACAGCTTCAATTACTAAGCTGCTAATTTTGAGGATTATGCCAGTGCTTTGTTGGCAGGTCTGAGAACTTCTCTCCTTTACCCTCCTGAGTCCTTGTCGTGTTGCCCTTAGCCAGCGCAGCTCATCAGTAGTATTTTGTAAAGAGGGGCCATCATTTCTTTAAAGGCCTCTGTCAAAAGATGAGCTGTCTGCATCAGTACTGTTTGCAAACCACAATATAAAAAACAAGAACTAGATTACAAACCCTACTTTTTTTTTTAATACATCAGGAAAAACTGACATATCAACAACTGTTCCTAAAACATGTATTATTAAAAGGAAATTGGCTCGGCTGGTGTGGCTCAGTGGTTGAGCATCGACTTATGAACTAGGACAGTGGTCGGCAAACTCATTAGTCAACAGAGCCAAATATCAACAGTACAACGATTGAAATTTCTTTTGAGAGCCAAATTTTTTAAACTTAACTTATATGGGTAGGTATATTGTTATTAACTTAATTAGGGTACTCCTAAGGCTTAGGAAGAGCCACACTCAAGGGGCCAAAGAGCCGCATGTGGCTCTCGAGCCGCAGTTTGCTGACCACGGAACTAGGAGGTCACAGTTGGATTCCTGGTCAGGACACATGCCTGGGTTTCGGGTTCATCCCCAGTAGGGGGCATGCAGGAGGCAGCTAATTCATGATTCTCTGTCATCGATATTTCTATCTCTCCCTCTCCCTTCCTCTCTGAAATCAATTAAAAAATATTTTTTTTAAAAAAAGGAAATTTATCTTTATGTGTGGTGCTCCATTTTTTATTTTTATGTTACCACCATCGTCTGTTGTGTCCTCAGCTTTTCTTCATGCATCTCCTGCCCAATTTCGCTGAGTGCTGGTGGGACCAGGTGGTCCTGGACATCCTGCTGTGCAACGGCGGCGGCATCTGGCTGGGCATGGTCGTCTGCCGGTTCTTAGAGATGAGGACCTACCACTGGGCCAGCTTCAGGTGAGCCGCGCCCCTCTGGACAGCGCCACAGCTTTCCCCGCGAGCACGGAACTGCTGTCGGAGATGCAGCCTACGGCACAGTGTTTGATGACAAGAAGTAAATTACACATTAGGAATTGAAACTCATAAATGATTAGAAACCTAATTTTAGGCATTCATCTAGAAAGTACTAAGTCATTTATGATTTTCTCAAAACTCTCCTTTCCACCTGTGTGCCTCAGCCTGCATTCAGACTGCCATCGCTGGATTAATTAGCCCCCCTCTTTCCAAGGTAACCCCTCAAAGCCTCCTCACACATTGCTGGACTGATTTTTTAAAGAATGTCCCATTCACCATGTCATTCCCCGATGATAGCTTCTTGTGGTCTTTAGGACAAAGTGGACAAAGTGTGCTTCCGTGGACTCAGCAGGGTACCTTTCTCCACACCCTCCAGGGAACCGAGCGCCCTGAGCCCATGTATATACTCCCGTCCGCCTGGGTCTGAGCTGTGTTTCCAGGGGCCACGGTCCTTCACTTTCCTGACCTGGCTCACTTGTTACGTCGTCAGGCAGTTGTCTCTGACTGTCTGGTTGCGTGTCCCTCCTCTCCTCCGTGGAGAACAGTGCACACCCCGTCATTCTTCATCCTGCTTCTCTGAACTTGCTCCTCAGTTTGACTGGCAGGAGCCATGCCATTGATAAGGAGGAAAAGAACGCGGTAGAGATAATGAAAATAGTCGTTTTTATTGTGTTTAAAACTTTATATAACAAAATATGAGCATTTTCCAGCATTTAAATTTTTAAAAAATATAATTTTAAAGGGTTTCTTCATATTCCAACATATGGATAAACCATAAGGTATTTAAACAGTTCCCTTTTATGAGCATTTAGTTATTTCAAACTTTTCACTTTTATAAAAAAGTGAACATTTTGAATATGTATCTTTGTGTGCATATCTGATTTTTTTAACATAAATTCTTACAAGTAGAATATACCAATTTATGTTCTTACCTGTATACACCAATGAATATGTGTTCATTTCATTATTGCTTTGAATTTTATTTTTAAGCTTTGTCAATTTTATTACACATAAAATTGTGTGATATTAAATTTCTAGTGTATTTCTATTAGATTTTTCTCTTTCATTGTGCTTTTTCTGGATTAAGGATTTTAACATTTGTCATAAATGTGATTTTCCATTTTGCCATCTCTTTTAATTTTTTGTGTGGTAATTTTGTCATTTAAACTTTAAAAGCTTTAAATCTTTTTGTTTAGGTTAATGTTAACCCGTATTTTCTTCTAATTCTTTAATGATTTAGTCTTTTTATTATAAGAAATTTTAGAATTATTTCTTTAGTCAATGACTGGAAAGGTTGCTTGTTAATATATTTAAGGCAGTACATATTGTGCTGGATACTGCTCCAAGCAAGCTCTGTAAGCAGTATGGCATTTGAGCTTTCTATCAATCTGAGAGGTAGACACTACATCCTTCTCATTTTAGGGATGACCATACAGAGACTTAGGTTTAGTAATTCGCTGAAGGACATATAACCAGCGAACTGTTGAGCCTGAATTTGTGTCAGACTGTCTGGCTCCTTAAACTCTGACATAATGCTTCCCTACTTTCATATATTTATGCTTCAAATTGGACTTGAGAATTGTTTTGTCAGGTCAACAAACTAATCAACAGAAAATCCCATTGGTGCTTTTTTAAAAGTTCTATGAAATGTACAAATGACTATAGATTCACTTAAGTTGAATTAACAACTTCTTTACTATATGAAGTATTCCAGATCCCAATTATGCCGAATTTCTCTATTTATTCCCAACTATCCCTACATCTTTTGACGAAGTTTGGCCATTTTTTAAAAATACAGGTCCTTCATAGTTCTCGTTTACTTTGGATAGTTCTATTTTGCTGTTGCTTTTTTGCCGCGAATGTGCTTG